CGGGGGGTGCGCCCCCCCCCCTGCCCCTGCCGCGGCATCCTGGCAGGGCGACACCAGGACACTAGTGACCCGAGCGTGAAGATTCAGGGGTGGGAAGGTGTGAGCCGCAAACCCACCGGGGCCCGGGAAAGAAGAGGAGGCCCGGGGGTGGGCAGAGGACTGGGGTCGGGCTGCAGAGGCTGCTCGGCCTCCTGACTGACTGACTAGCCGGCTGGCTGGCTCATTGGCTGACTTGCTGGTTGGCGGGCTGGCGGCTGGCTAACTGACCGACTGGCTGGTTGATTGACTGACTGACTGGCTGACTGACCGGCTGGCTGAGTGGCTGACCCGCTGGCTGACTGGCTTGCAGCCTCCGGCCGGACGCTGGAAGCCGCGGCGGGCGGCGCGCAGAGCCGAGCCATGGCCTCGGGTGAGTACCGAGGTGAGCATCTGCGAGTCCCGGGAAGGCTCGGTTTGGGGTTGGGACATTCTGCCTTTCAAGTCGTCTCCTCTGGCAAACTGTCAGCCATTTAAAAAGTTACCTGCTTCGGGGTTTGCGTGCGAAATCAAAGCGGCGCACTGTAATCTGATCTCCTTGTTGTAATAGCCAGAACCTTCGAAATTCCCACCGGCGTGGTTTTAGGATGGGGGGGGGGCGCGTGAGCTCGATAAAGGAGGCAGACGAGCCTGGCATTTAAAGACCGGCCTTGAGACGCCAGTTTACATCTTTGAACAAAAAGAGGAACCTCAGGACCTCGGGCGAGCTTTCTTTTTTAAATCCTATCGTGCCAGGAGCTAATCGCTCTTGGGCTGACAGTTGTACAGAATGTGGCGCGGCTGTAAGTGTCCTCGGTGGCGTTTTAACTCGTTCCAAGTGAAAACACTAGCTTTTTCCCTCCCTCAGAGCTGAAGGGATTCCTTGTCTAGTTTGCCTCTCAGAGACGTCGACCCCTCTGCTCCCAACCTGCTGGAACATTTTATTAGCAAGAGGGCGAGACGAGTTGTCGATTGTGCTTTAAAATAACTAGTGGGGAAAATAAAATAACTAGTGGGGATGAAAAGTGTGATCACTTAGTGTAAATGTTTCTTTAGGGGGCCACCTTTATAAGAAAACAGTTTACTTGCTCGCTTTCTGTACAGCAGGGCAGTCATATTAGGCGAGTTCATCCAGCAGCCCCAGGTGGTGGTGGGCGCTTTCCTGGTCTTGGGAACTGAAGCCACACTTTCAGTCTAGCGGGATGCTGACCCCTGATCTTCCCAGTGACCCTTCAGGGTCTCTGAGGAGAAGGCAGCCGACGTCTAGCAGAGAAGAGGAAGTAGAAAGCTTAATGAACTCTTTTAAGAGTTGAACAATGCCATAACTCCTACTGTAGGCCGTAAAGGAAACTGGGGTGTTTCACATGACACTTGATTTCAGTTTGTTTGTGGTTTTCATGAGAAAACAAATGTAGTTTAAAATATTTCAACTTTCTCTTTACCCATTTAAATGAACCCAGACTTTCAGGTAATCTTGTAAATTCGTAAATGTAACTCATGCTCAGATTAAAAACAGAAAGAAGGCTCCAAATATTTCATTAACTCACTGTAACCAGAAAAGATGTTGCATGAAAGTTGTAAAGTGGCAGGCTTTGTTAAATAAGACAGCTCTGCCCTCATCTACTTAACAGGATTTTAATGTAGTACATGAATGTAATACTTGAACTTTTTCAAGAGAAAAATCATTTATTACGTAAAGTACTGTAAGACAGCCATGATTTTGAAGTGTCATACAATTGAAATTTGTCTAATGACACATATTTTGTGCTGTTATACAAATGTTTCCCAAAATTAAACCGGGGGAATTTTTAAAGAATGGCAAGAATTTCAAAGCTGTGTTGGGGTTGTAGCTCTTGAGAGTGAGTTTACTCAGCTTCTGTGAGGCCCTGGGTTGGATTCTCAGTACTGTCAGGGAAAAAAAAAGAAAAGAAATCTGTAAGTTGTAGTGTCGTTATCTTCTTGCTTTTTTCTTAATCAAGGGCTGCCCTAATTAGACTATTTAAAATACATCGTGTCATTTTAATTGTAATTTGGTTAATTGAAACCTCTAGGCAAAATGTAGTTTAAAGGAGTCTGGGTACATTATCAGTTATAAAGACCATATAGAGAAAAAATTGTGAAATACATATAAAATCCCCATTCCATTTGGAATAGTAAGTTAAGAACAACAAAATTTGCTCAATTTATCACTAATTTAGATTATTTTTGTAATATGGTATTGAAACCTTGAAAAGTATTCTTATTGATTATCAAACATTTAAGACCATTTGTTCATTTCTCTCTGGATGTCATATGTAAATAGGTATGTATAATTGAATAGGTGGTGCCTATAATGTAAAAGTATCATAGATCACAATTGCATAAGCAGAATCATATAAATGCCAAAGTAAACAGGATTTTACATGATGATTCTAATTATTGTTCAGGTAAATTAGCAAATTATTACTTCTTATCTAGCCATTAAGCTGCTTTTCATTGCCCCTATAAAAATACTGTGTTTTGATTCTAGCCTTTCAATATGATTAATTGTAGTAGGCAAATCCTATTTACTCTTACTTGCTTTATGCCCATATTTAAAGCTTCTCATTATTTCTTAAAAAGAACAAAATGGGGGGGCACAGATACCTTGTGTGGCACATATTGTAACTACTAATGATTGATACTTATGTCTTTGGTGAAATGTGCTTTAAATTTTAGAAAGTATGTCTTTAGTCACATTTTTTTCTGTAGTATTATTCATCTGTATCACAGAACAGGAAGTACAGAAAGAAATTATTTTTGTAGATGGTACTAGTCACCAACTTTCTGTATGTGAATTTCAAGGTAACCTTTTTTTCTCTAATAAAAGTGAATGCAACTGAGAGACTGCTTACACTTTAATAATAGAGCTGGAAGTTAGGAGTGGTTAGCCAAAACAAATGACTTCCTTTTTTTTAAAGTAAGACTGCTCACAAATATTTCAGAAACGAAACATATGAAAATCGATAAAAGTGTTATCAAAATTAGTAATGCATAATAAAGAGAATTAGTGAAGAAAATGAATGGCAAAATCATAATTAGGAACACAGAGTATGTGTGGTGTTTTTCTCAAAAAACAATTTAAGGGACTCAGAATATTTTTGTCTCAATTTTCTTCCATCTGTGTTCTCTGCATAATTGTGTTTATGAGCACATGATCTGAATATTGCAAATGAGAATACATTTATCCAAAAGTAATTGTTCATGTGAAATTTGTATTTAACTGAATCTCTTGTATTTTTAAGTCTGAAATCCTAATAGAGATGATTTGATGCTTCCATGTATTTTTTATTCTAGGAAAGACTTTAAACGTTACTTCCTCATTCTAGCAGGTAAAAACCTTAGGTTTTTTTCCTGTACCCACAGCAGTGAAATCTTACTGCAAAGTGTTTCCTTCCCTTTGATTTGCCTTGGGGTATATATATACATCAGTTGAATGCCTCTTGCTTGAAAGTCAGCAGGATATATTAAATTTCTAATATATATTTATATGTTTGTGTGTGTGTGTGATGTTGTTTTGTTTTGTTTTGTTTTTTTTCTGTTAGGGTCTCATGTAACCCAGGATAGCTATATAGCTATGATGACCTTAAACTCCTGATTCTCCTGCCTCAGCCTCCTGAGTGCTAGAATTTCAGGTGTGAGTGACCAGAAAAAGGATAACTCTTAATTACTTTTTCCCAGAATGAATAGAGATGATATTTGGGAATGTATGATTATTAGCCGTTTGCTCCTTTGGGTCCCAGGCAAAGTCTGTTACATAGGATTTCTATAAGACAGAGGCACTCTGATTGGCTGTTCTCAACTCTAGTTAGTATAACCATCATTTGTGTGCTGTATTGTAAATAATAAAGGAGTGATAGTAGTTCAAAATAATACTTTGTTGAAGAAAGCAGTCAAAATCTAGTTTTAGAATGTTTTCTACATTGCACTTGAATACGCTTTCCTTTTTCTCCTTCCTTCCTTTCTTCCTTCCTTCCCTCCTTCCTTCCTTCGTTCCTTCTCTCTCCCCCCTTTCTTTTTTGTGAGTAGAATAGAAAAAGGAATGACAACTAGCCCTGATTGTTTTACCTGCCTTATCCATAATCTCGTTTGTACTTGGATCTGAACTTTGAGTTGCTTTCCTGAATAACTTCATTGTTATTTTTACTTTCTTGTGTTTTAGAGAACTTGGTCTTCAGAGTATTTAGACTAAGTTGGAAGGCTTTTTCAGAAATCTGTCTGGGCTTTATTCTTGAAGAGCTATGTTTCTCTTCAGATGTCTGTGAGGTTAGGGTATAACTTACTGTTTGGAAAAGCTACCTAGGTGGTTTCTGAAGTACAGCCCCAGGACAAATTTTATTCCAGGGACTACTTTTAATCTAAATATTTGCCTTGTGTTCTTCAGGTAGCTGTATTGATTTTAGATTATAGGTTATAGCCATATCTGTTGTTGTGATTTTATGCTTAACTGCTTTTTTCTTGTTATATAAGTAAAGTAATTGATTTTATTCAAAACCTTGGTTGTAATTATATCTCTTCAATTTAATGACTCCTATGACTTTTGTTCTTTCAACAAAAAGATCTCATGGAACAATGTTACTCTTTATCATTCTTTTCATATCTCATCTGTGGTCATAGACCCAGAAGACATCCATTTGGTAGTCAGATTTGTTAGCTTCTTGGATTATGACTTCTTCACTAATATATTATCAAAAATGATTAGTGTGCATATGTGTGTGTGTGACAAGGCATAGTGCTGCATTCCTTTAATCCCAGCACTTGGGAGGCAGAGGCAGGCAGAGCTCTGAATTCAAGGCCAGTCTGGTCTATTAAGCAAGTCCCTGGCCAGTGAGACTGTCTCAAAAGATAAACAAAAAGGAATAGAATAATAATAATCTTTTTCTCAAAATTTCATATTATTTTCAAGTTTAGTTTTATTGTCTCTAAAATGAGATAATAATACCAGTTTTCCTTATGAAGTTTAAAGTTAAGAGGACCAGTGAGAAATACCTATGTATGTTTTAATTAGTATATGTGCACTTAATTCTAACTTCTAATTCTAGCAATAACATTTTAGTAGATATGCCTATTATATATATAATTTGGACAATTGATCTATTTCTAACATTTCGGTGTAATTTCTTTTTAATTTTAAAATCTCATACTTGAATTAGTAAATAGAAATTAATACACAAGTAAATAGTAAATATCAATTAGTAAATAGTAAAAGGAAATGTAAATAGTAAAAATTAGTAAATAGTAAAAAGAGAGTAAATAGACTCAATGTTTTCAAAGAGCATTCCTTTTTGCCTAAGTGCACATGAAAACTTTGCAAGCATTTTAGCTGTAATTCAAAGGTTATTCTAGTCAGTATTAGCATTTACAATGCAATTCATGATATAGGGTTCA